TCTCATTCCTCTCCCCAACAGCCCCCCAGTAGAAACCCTGTACTCCGCCACCATAGTTCCTTTCAATTCCTGAATTTATACATGTGAGAAAACCCTCAGAACGGGATGTATCCTTGCAGAATGGTCCGTGGGACAAGAAGAGTGATTGACAACTGCAGAAATTACATCTGAGGTTTAGTCCTGCAGGAAAAGGGGATACAAATTGTCGGCAAATTATCCACAAGTCCCTGATGAGCCTGAGGAGAAAATTTAAGAGGCTTCCGTCTTTCTTCAACAAGCATGTTCACGTGTCTCCCTTTGCTAGGACACAAAAAACACCCAAGAGAAAATGTCCTTGTAAAAACACTACTTTTGTTTCTTATCATTGTCAAATGTTATAATAGTAACTGTGTAAATGCCAATTAATAGCCTTTTTCATGTGCCAATAGTGTTCTCTCTGTAATTCAGAACAGAGGTGGTATATGAGCTCTGAATGACGGGTTTATTATCTAAAGAAGAAATTGGGTTTTGTGTTATAAAAACACAAGGCGTTAACTTTATAGGATGCATAATGAAATAGCCTGTAACGACTTGTGCTGCTGATCTTAATAAATATGCATCACTTGAGAACTACATACGGTGGAATAAAGGTGAAATAATAATAACAGTCGATACTTAGGAGTCTAAAAGGAACAGGTAATACTTCACTTCTAACTCAGAATACATGAAAATGTGATATCCTAGAGTTTGCATATACCTGGCTTACAATATTGGCTTTCTCAGGTATTAGGATGGTGCTACTTGGAATGTGATAGGCAAACCAGTGCTGATCCTCAAATTTTCTTCCTTGTCTTCCTGTGATAAGCACGGAAATGGAGAGTAACCATTTAGAACCTTTTAGATCCATTTCAGAGAGTAATTCTATGTCTGCTGAATCACATAATAATGAATTGGGGCTTGCATTTTATGTCTTTGTCTTTTTTTAAATTTCATTTCTGAATAATTCATTTTTACTCTTACTTTACAGAAATATTTGTCCATGAAAACCTGATGAAAAATAGTCCTCAACACTAATAATTTGAGAAACACTAGAATATTATTGTAATTGATAAGTAGGAACCACCTCTCTATGCTTTAGGTGTCTTGCCTTAAAAAGGAATGTAATAAATAACAGTACTTACCTCTTGACACTGGATCTGAGAATTAAGGGAAGATAGATGAACCTAAAATGCTAAGCAATGTACTTACCTACCCACAACATTGTTTCTTAGTATTACTGACTAACAAAGAAGAGATTCTATTCTGAATTACTTGCCTGTAGGACACAGTTTCTCTTTGTAACAGGCCTCCAGTACATCCTCCCATCAACAAGTAACCTCCCCCTGGCATCAAGCCAGCAAGTCTTGAAGCTCATTCACCATGGACTTGCATGAAGCAACCACATTTGGCTTTCGGTCTTCCCTGACTACGCAGCGTAACTGCTCCACCATCATAGTGTGGAATGTCCTTCTATATGCTTCCTTAAGTCATGAATTTGAGGCATTGCTGCAAGCCTCAACAAGTGAGCTATCCTGTTCTTTATTGCTAAGAGCTCGTATTATTTTGGGACCAGGACAAAGTGACTTGTCATTCATAGGTGGCAAGCATGGAGATGTAAACTTCAGTTTCAAAAGATGCATCAGTTTGGGTAGTGCCTCAGAGAGTAAAGAAAAAAAATGCAATCTATTCTAGTCAAAGAGGCCAAACAATGTTTTCAAAAGTGTGTTTGGTTAAGTGTCAGAATTGAAAGTTGAATACCTCCTCAACAGGGATCAGTGGTGGCCAAAGAAAGTGGTTGGCTATTTCAGAGCATAAATGCTTAACAGAAGATAATTCAACCAAAGAGTTTTTCTTTTTTAATTATAGCACACTGCAGTGGAGAACATGAGGCTTTATTGTCAGACTGACTTACGTCCAAATCATGGTTTTGCAGCTTAACTGGATCTGTCAGGCAAATCCTTTACTCTCTTTGAGTTTCAGTTTCCTAACTTATAAATTAGGGGCTAATGGGATAATGTTTGAGTATAATAAGTGTCTCAATAATATTAATTATCCTTTTCTTTACTCAGTTAGTAAATTTTAATTGTTTGTCTTTAAAATAATCAATAAGTTGATTTTAGCAAGGTTGCATGAATAGAATCAGACTTTAAAATATAATAAAAATAATCTCAGCATTTATTTTTGAAAACACACATTGGATTTGGCAGACTTGGTGAACCACAGACTGTTTAAAAACGTGACTGACTTTTTCCAAGGTCAAGCATATTCAACTCCTTTTCACTCTGCCTAGAACTCTTTGCTCCAGCCAGAATAACTTTCCCGTGCATGTGACTTGGCTCACTCTTATTTTTAGTCCTTTGTGTTTAGCACTCTTCTTGAGATGACCTTCTGATGCCTTCCTGCCAAACCACACACTCCTTTAAACTTGTTCATCATTCATGTTGTCCAGGAATTGGCAGAGAGAAATCTGGTCAAGGGACTCACTCCAACAGCCCATCTTTCAGGGCTATAGGTTCTTCAAGAAAACTTCACTAGTCCCCACTCAGACACATTTCGTTGCTATGATTTCCTAAGCCCTTTTCATGTTTGTAGATACTTTCTCCCTGTCAGAACTATAGAGTCCCATGTTTTGGGGTTACACTGGGTACATTTGGGATTAGAAAGGCTTTCACTTATTCAAAGGCACACCATTTATGGCTCATTTTAAACACATAGCCAGTTCATTGGTTTTTTAGTTTGGTATTGTTTTCACTTCATGACCCACATCACTTAGTGGGCAAATGGTCAGCATTACTGCCTGGCTGACTGAGGAACAGTGGGGGAGCATCAGGCATCGAAAGGTAGCTCTTGAAGCAGTTAAGGGCAGATGAAGGGCTCGGGGCAGAACAGGGGTAGGGAAAAGAAGGGAGGAGGGTGCCTCAAAGGAATACTGGGCTTATTCCAAGCATTTCAAATGAAAAGAAAATTTCAAAACACCTAAACAACAACAATAAGAATAACACATATCTGCTTTGCTTCTATTTTGTGCTTAATAAACAACACTCCTGTCACTGCCAACAAAAACAGCAACATAACTGTGCTTTTCCCCTGGCACCAACTTGAAACAATCTACTGGATTTGGGTCAAAACTGTAACTGCCAGCATGTTAAAAATAAAATCAGAAAAACAAACCTGGCCTTTTCCTTAAGGGTTGTGAGGGTGAATGCAGGGCAGGAGCCAGAGAGAAGAGTTCCTATAAAAAATAACTAGTGCAAACATCCTTGAACTGATGTTTTCTATAAAAATCTGTTGGCTGTGAATTGGAAAGAGTGAGTGGGGAGGGAGAATGGAATGGGGGATCAAGTGGTGTCTGCTTATCGTCAGCTAGCTTTCATGTAAAAGTCATGGCAGGGTCAGCAACAAACTAGCCAGGTGGCAACTCCAGGCCACGCTGCCATAAATAAATAGTTATGTACTAATGTCACACAACCAGAGCTAGATGCAAAGCATATGGCAAGAAAACATTCTGATGTAAATATTCAGGGGGAAAAAAACAACTCATGGTTTCTGAATTCAGGATCCACTCTTGTTACCGGACTTGGAGACGCCTGGGAAAATAAAGTGGTGGAGCTTTTTAAAACCCGAACTAAAAGATTCTTTGAAATGTATATTATTCCCGTTCAAAAACTCCTTAACCTTTGGCCTAAGAGAGTGTGACTATTTGGTGTAGTAATTAAGTATTATTGAGAGTTGGTAACAGCACAGACTCTGGAGCAAATTTCAGCAGCTTAAACTTTACACATGCTGCTTACTTGTTCTCATGACCCTTGGGAAGTTACTTAACCTTTTCATGCCTCAATTTATTCATCCTGTATGAAGGAAGGGGGAAGGTGATAATGGCAATTGTACCTGCCTCACAGGAAGTTATGAAAATTATATGAGTCAAAATATAGGGAGCCTGTTAGACAGTAAGTGGTAATGCCGTATCCACATGACCTGTCATAACCAAGTAGCCTTACATAGGCTATTTATCTCATGTAGACTATCTGCTGGACAATATGTTGAAGAATTCTTTACTTTCCTAGGTAAGCTTAACAATGCGTCAAGAATTAAAAATCAGTTTTACAAAGGAACCGAGGGTTAGATGGATTAAGGAATTTATTTACCTAAGGAGGCATATCTAAGCTAAACTTCCAACCCAGGCCTTATTCCAAATTATTAAAAGACAAACAAACAAAAACATGTTCTCTAATAAACACTTTTTCTTTCATTTGCTTTAAATGTTAAAATTTGAACAGAAACACGTGGCCTTCTAAGAACCAACGCGGTTTTTTAAAAGGGATTAAAGAAGAGCTGATGTCCCAGGAAATTGCCTAAGGCTCATAGCATCATGGAAAACAGATTCATTCACTGCCTCATTTCTCCAACACTTATCCAGTGCCTACTGTTTTCCGAGAGCTGCAGAATCAGAGGCAATTAAGAAATGATTTCAGTTCCTGAGCACCTAACTGGGGGACAGGCATGAGAGTAGTATTCTTCATCGCGGGCTGTTTGATGTGTCGGATTTGTTTTCTGGTTGGTTTCCCAACATGAACAAAGCGCCACAAGAGCTGCATAAGCCTGGCTCGTGTCTGTGCTGACTACGGAGATCCTGGGGGTTTTGCTCCAGCGCGCGGAGAGACTTTAGGGACGGCTTACTTTCTTTGTAGGTCACTCTCCAATTGGAGCTGCTTCAAAGCCCGCGCGTTTGAAAGCGTATTCAAATCGGGGGCCCTGGCAGTGGCTTTCCGAGGCTCAAGCTTAAGGATCGCGGGACACCCGTGTGCCCTTGCTGTCCGGTTAGTGAGCCAGGACTCGAGCACTGGGAGAGTAGAAACGCCTGGAACCTCCCTTGTAGTTGATCCTTTGCAGTTGCAGCCGGGATACCTGTTGGCCAGTGACTTAGGCTCCACCTCTGCCGGGGGCGCTACTTCCTGATTACTTTGCCCTTAACTGACATGGCGGCTGCTGCCTTCGGTCGGGCCCACTGCGGTTGCTCAGAAAGCCAAGGTCTACAGCCCGTCCCCCCTGCCGCCTCGGAGCAGCAGGGTGAGTCCCAGGCTGTACAGGTAATGGAGAAGGGGCAACAGGCAGGCCAAGGAAGTCAAGGACCTAGCGCTGTGGTCCTATGTGCCTACCCCTCTTTTCCCGGCACCAAGGCCGTTTGAGCCCAGTGTGTTTTTTACTTGTCCCTGCCACCTCCCAGACTCTTGGCCCAACATGATACTGACTAAAGCCCAGTACGACGAGATAGCCCAGTGCCTAGTGTCTGTGCCTCCCACCAGGCAGAGCCTGAGGAAGCTGAAGCAGAGGTTCCCCAGGTAAGTGTTCATCTCTCCTCTCTCACAGCCCTTTGCCTGAGTCAGCTGTGCCTGGCAGCCAAGCCAGCACTTAGGAACCACGTGTCCCACATGTCAAGTGTTAGGAGATCAAGGATGGTGAAAGAGGTTTCGTTTTTCACCATCCCGCCTTCCTTGGGAGGCTTTTAATGGATGAATCAATTAAATTCAAGGTAACAGTTGTTTGTGCAAAATTGGTATATGTGCAAGAGACGAGTGCACGTAGTAGGTGCTCCATAAATGTCTAGTGGTTAATTGACAGATTCTAGGTATGAATGACAGGTGGGAGGGCCCTCTCAAAGTAGAAATACCAATTGTAGATTCAAAAGGATAAAATAAATAACCATTTTCAGTTGGTCCCTGGAAACAAACTAGGGAGCACAGACCTAAAGGGGCCTCCTGTTTAAATATGGCTCTCTGATATAATTAAGTGATCTCAAGTGTTCTCGAGCCAGTCAGAGAGGTATCCTAGAGATTCCTCTCTTGGCTCAGGGTTGGCCTTTTAAACAATTTATGTGTGTGTGTGTGTGTGTGTACACACACACACATATACATACACACACGTTCCAGGTATATTTCATACTTCCCTCCTCCCCAAAACACATTTTTTTCTTGTGATTTTAGGATTATCCAACTTTCTAAGGAAGGACTTTAGGAACTGTGTACTATAAATTTCCTCATTTTAAAAATGTACAAACTGAGGCAAAGACATTACACTAAGAACCAGTCCAGGACAAAAAGGTTATTATATCTGTGACATATTAAAAGATTAAAATGTGTGTTTACTTTTCTTAGGTTTCAAAACCAAGTTCAAACTTGTATCATTTTTTTTTTCTGTAGCACTGAGCACTCCTTAGTGGAGAACTTCTCTGTCCTTGGTGTGTAACCCTTCGCAGACATCACCATTGAAGTATTTTCTTGAGGAAAGAGATACTATTGGATAATTAGTATTAATAAACTACAAATTGAAGCATAAGTTGGTCTTTTATGATCTCAGGTTTTTGAAGGACTCAGTTTTCCTTATCTGTAAAATGAAGGGATCTCTTCCTAATCCATATTTAATTCGAGGCACTATTTATGCCTTTATAATTTAATATTTTTATCAGACTTGCTAACCGGGAACAAAATTGACAAATTGGAATGTGATTACCTGTCTTTAACTCTTGCCAACTCTGCCAGTGAGCAGTGAAGTTAGGTGGAGGCCTGTCAGCTAAGCAAATAGGTAGATTTTTCCGGACAGTTTGAAAATAGAATATACATTTAGATATTCTTTTCTCATGTACTTACTATATCACAATTGTATTTTTGCTTTTCTTTCTTTACCTCTCTCTCTTCTCTTTCTCTCTTTCTCATGCTTTTTCTTTTTCCATGGCAAATACCTTCTCCTCTCCGGAAGAGATAACCCCCCTGCACTCTTATGGACTTAATGAGTACACTTATGAAGCACTCTGCTCGTTTGGGGCAAGGTGCTGTCTTGCTTATTCTCTTATGCCTCACATTTTCTTCTTATTCATGATATGCCCAAATACTTTCCACTTCTTCCAAATACCACTTAAGAAGTCACAAACTCTTCTTCCACTGGAAATTATTTACAGATGATGCATTAATGTGCAAAAGAAGGAATTAGCCATTTAGCAGCATGGGTGGGGATTCTATAAAAAGCATGATTTTGGAGTTGGCTTCACAGTTTTCCCTATAACACTGTTTTACTTTAGATGGTCCTTGCAAAGGATTTGAAGAAACTTTGGGTTTGATAGGTCATTTTACCAGAGTTGGTCAGGTATGGACCTCAGAGATAATTTCTGGTTCTGGGAGGTTTAGGACTTTTCAAAAATCCCAGAGATGTTTAATGGCCAAACAGTGTCTTGATACAGGTTTCATAATTTTTAGTTCAGAATTCTATACTAAGCTGCCTTCATTAGTTTCAATATCAATAATAATAATAGCAGTGGTTACTTTGGTGGCATTCACATAATTTGAATTCTTAAAAAATCAAAATACTGAAATGTTTTACAAAGTTGCTAAAAATTTAATTTTGATTTTAAAAGTAGGACATGCTTAGTGAAGAAAATAAAAATGATTTATACTTATATAGCCCAGAAAATTTATCTTAACCTTTTATGTATTTCCTTCTCATCTTTTTTCCCACTGTAATACTGTATCTGCTAAAAATACTTTGTAGGTCTTGCTTTTTTCACTTAACATATTGTGAACATTCCTTCAAAAATTCTTCACAATGTGTTTTAAATAACCAACATCACATTCTGGATGCACCATCCATTTCCTTAATGTTGGATATTGGGAGGTTTTTTTTTCTATTTTATTGATAGTATTATTTGCACATGTATAACAACAAGTCTGTTTATTTTCTTACTTTAGAATCTCAGAAATTAGGAATGACTATTAGCAGTTTTCTAACATTTAATCTGCAGACCTCTTTGTACTCTAAAAGAGTATTGAATACTCCAAAGAACTTTTGTTTATATGGATTATGTCTGTTGATATTTACCCAAATATAAATTAAAATTGATAAATTCAAAACATCACTTACTAATTTATTTCAAAATTAATAGTCATAACCCCATTACATGTTAACGTGTTTTGTTACACATATTTAACATACTTGATTAATAAGCATTACTTCAAAAAAAGAAGTGAGAAAATGGCCTAGTTTTACGCTTGTGCCATTTTTTTAATGTCTGCCTTAATGGAAGGAAGACATCTGCTTCTGCATTCAACCTGTTGTGATATGTTGTTTTGATTAAAGAATATGAGGAAACTCAGGCCTCAGACAAATATGCAGTTGGAGAGGCAAGAGTAATTTAATAGGCTTTTCAGATAATTGTGGATATTTTTGTTGCTACATAAAACCTAACAAGTGGTATTTTCTTAAAGGTTAATTGCAATGTGGAATGTGAAACCATATCTTGGCCCTTTCCACTTTGTTATATCACAGTCCATTGGCCTGTCATGAACTTTGAGTGGATCTCTTACCAATGCATGATTTTTATCATCATGCATTGTTCACTTGCAAAATGTTGATTGTGAGCTATGCAAGTCTCCCAAATGTTGTCACATTTCATTATATAGCATTAAAAAATCATATTTGTTAATATCCCCTCTGATCTCATCAGAAAAAAAATATGTAAGATTCAAAGTTGTCAAGCTTATGGTGATGGATACAGAGTTTTCTAGTATTTGAATTTTCTCTCGAAATCTCAAATTTTATTATTGGCAACAAATATTATCACTTGTTTTCTTTGAAGTGACAGGCTCACATTGTTTATTTTTGAGAAAATGTCTGCCAGAAATCTAAATTGGAATAATCATACTTTGTGCATCACTCATGCCAGTAAAAAGGGTGTTTCGGGGAAAAGGCAGCTAGTTCAGCTCTCCAGCAGTCATCCAAGTGCTTTTCCTTGAGAGGGCCATCGGAATTCTGTATGCAGTAGACGTGCTTTGTGTTTGCTTCTTACATGGTCATATAGAATGTTAAGTGGATGTATACTCGAGGGTTGAGTATTAATAAGCGAGTCTGAAGATATTAAGTGAAGCCGGCTTTTTTTCCCCTTCAAGTATGTGGTGGTGAAGAATACAGTGGTTGTGAGGACAGTTGTACCGGACCGTGATATGTGGTCAGGAGCTGGCAACTTGACCCGCCATTGGTTTTGCATGGTCATTGCACATGTCACACGAGGAAAGAGCAAGTCATGTCTTACTACTTCTATAAAGATAACTTTGACTTTGTAGAGCCCTGGGAGACTCTCAGGGACTCCGTGGGTTCATGGACCACACTTTGACAATCGCTACCTATTTTAAGTCAAAGGATATTTATGTTTTGAAAGATTTTGATGCCTATTGACAACTTAGTATCAAAAAGATTGTAGTAATCCTATTACCAACACAGCACGGGAGTATCTGTCTCGGCAAGTTTTGCCAACATTGAAGAGAATCATCATTTAAACTTTAATATGATGGATCAAGAATGACGCCTCATAATTTGCACTTTCGATTATAATACATTGTATGTTTTCTCAATTGTTTATTGACCATTTGCTTTTCTTCTTCTTGAGTTCCCTACTCAGTGTCCTTTGCCTAATTTTGTATTGAAGTTTGTTACTGTTTATTAATTTGTTATTATTTATTGATCTGCATATGTTAATGATGTTTATTCTATGTCCATATTTGTTCCAGATATTTTCATTGTTTGCTTTAATAATTATTCTATTTTTTAAATGCTTACCTTTAAATTTATGTTTTTTTTTTCTCATTTTTCCTTTTATGCCAAGGAAGTCCTTTCCTGTCCTACAATACAAAAAAGAAATCTTTCACTTATATTTTCTTCTAGGTTCCTTATGGCTTTCTTGCTTACTGTTAATTCTTTAATCTTTGTAGCTGAAATTCCTTTTAGCATGTGGTCAGAGATAAAGATGTAGCTTAGTTTTTCCTCAGCTTAATTTTTATTTTGTACAGTAGCTTCCACACTCCCTGGCTTCATTCCTCCATGGCTTCTTTGTTTTCACTAGAATGATAAGTTTCTCTTTCCATGTCCGTTCACTGAGTCTGGACAATCCCCTTACCCACTCTGGTCTCAGAATCCTCCAAGTTCAAAAGCAGGGATAGAACTTTGTGATGTCCCATATCTTACAACTCCTAAATTCACCCTCATTCTATTCTTTTCTGTTCTGCAGTTTTGTAGTACTGGGCCCTTTGGCCCAAGAATATAGGACATACTGTGCTAAATTCTTGCTGAGGACATATTCATTGATTTGCATCTCTCATGATTTCCTGGACCTTGTTATTCAGGTTGAAGCCCCCAGCCCAATTAGCTATTACTTATCAGATTGTATTTTACATTGTCTTTTACTGCCTAAACACAGTGTGTGCGTGTGCGTGTGCGTGTGTGTGTGTGTATACACTGTTCCTAGAGAAATCTCAACAGGAATATTTAAAAACTCATTTGGCTGGGTTCTCTGTGCTTA